GGCAGGATGAAAACTGCTCTTTGTGGAAGCTCCTGTGCAAAGGCTCCACAGGATCCAAGGTACATCCAGGCAAAAGTAACTCCACGGCTGTGACTTTGGGGTGACCCAATGATCAGAAGCAGCATCAGCTGATATTCCAGTGTATGGGTTGAAGCAGCCTACACCATCATCCCTCCTATTATGTACAATTTTGATAAAAACCACACGCCTCTTATCACCATCTCATTATGAATAACTAAACTGAGCTGAAACCAAACTGCACTGAGAAGTTTGACTTCTGCAGCTATGTGCTCTAGATTGACCTGTTGTAGGTTTGTTTGATAAATACACATAGTCTAGCTAAGCTTTTAGGGGACAGCAGTTTCATATGCAGCTACTGTTTTCACTGGAAGCTGTTAGTTTTTTATTTACAGTTAATATTTAGGCACTATGTTCATGTACTGAGCTGAAACCAAACTGCACTGAGAAGTTTGACTTCTGCAGCTATGTGCTCTAGATTGACCTGTTGTAGGTTTGTTTGATAAATACACATAGTCTAGCTAAGCTTTTAGGGGACAGCAGTTTCATATGCAGCTACTGTTTTCACTGGAAGCTGTTAGTTTTTTATTTACAGTTAATATTTAGGCACTATGTTCATGTAGAATTTAATGGTGGAATCAAACCATAGGTGAACCTATGGATTTATTCGTTCTGGAATTTTCTCCTCACTCCACTCACTCCCTATTTCTTTATTGTTTTTCCACCATTTATTTAATAAGAAATAACTGCCACTACAATAGATTACCATCTTCTCTTTTATAGAATATAATAATATAGGCCACATTGGAGTTATCCTTCCTCCTCCTCATGATCTACTCATGGTAAAAATGCAGGGCATGCTTCTGAGACAGGTAACGAACGTGCCTTGGCTCGAAAACAAAGTTGGAACCTCTCAGCAGGAATGATTAAAAGCTTTAAAATATATTTTAATTTGACTCAACTATCTCTTATTATAAAAGCTTCTAGTTATCTCGAAACATAGTAACATTGACTGAGAACTGCAAAGAGTATTTCAAAGAACGAAAGCCTAGAGAGACAGTAGCCAAAGGTACAAATGATTTGCATATTTTGTACTAATAAAATACTGTTACTGTGAATAAAAAGTAAAATAAAATAGTTCTCGTACCATGCATCTTCCTCCACTTAAATCTGCAATAGTAGCATTGCTCACTGGCCTGATTCTGTGGCATGCTGAGGGCTTCCCACAAAATGTTGAGCTGAAATTATGTGTGATTATCTGAAATCTTATCTGGAGCTTGTTCAAAGAAAAAAGCTATGTGAAAAGCATACCTGAACTTTTTAAATGACAAACTAAAATCTTACATACATAGATTATGCATATTGACCGCTACATTATTATAACATAACTGTGTAAAAATCCTTTTGATAGCTTGTTGATAACTTGACTTCATGTAATTTAACTGACCCTTATTTGCTAAGATACTGTGTAAGCCAGTGTTTGGAAGGGAGCCAAAAAAAAAAGAGAGAGAGGAGAGAGAGAAATCAGATTAAACTGTAAATCTGTGGTTGGCACAGGTTTAGCAAGCGGTACGGAGCATATGGAATGCAGAATCCAGTGCTATTTCTTGGAAAAACTAGTATTAAACTAAGGACAAATGCCTGAGCCAAACAAACTACAACATCTTTTTCAGCTCTTAAATACACAATATGACAAAGAAACAAAATTAAAAGTGTTCCACTGCTAAGCACCACTTTGTAACTGATATAACAAGAAGTATACTTGCCATTTTAGTTTATTAGTCATATTGCAACTGAAGATGAAAGTTAATATTCTCCAGTAAAAAAAAAAAATCCTATGACCTTAAATTGACAGTCCCGTCTACCTTAATTGCAGCAGAGGGTGAAAAAAAAGTTACTGAAATCCAGAACGTTAGAATGAGACTAAGTAATACGGTAAGTGCAAATCTACCTTGTCAAACTCCTCTCAGAACTATTAAACAAAACCCTTATTAATGTATTAATAAAATTCATTACTTTAACTAATTACGTATATTTGAGCATTCACCATCCTCAGTTTATTACTTCTGTAACTCTGCAATTTAGGGATGTCGAGCAACGTCCCTCCACCGCGCATCCCGTAACCTACATCGCTGCATGCCCACACGGACCTCATCAAGTAGCCAAAGAGTTGCCCTTTCACTGTGAGCAAGTGACTAATATCTAAGCTGGCTCTAAAGAAAGACACTTTTCATAATCGCCCAACAATCTGCTAAGTGAAAACATATGGATAGGCTTAGGTAAAGCCTGCCAGGGGTCTTTACTGAATGGAAAACAGGTGCTCCAGTTCTGTGCCATGTAATACCCCATTTACCGTTAAGTCCAAAGGTTACAGGACTAATAGCTGCCTTGTGGTAATCAGGGAAAGCAAAGACACTGGCCATGGTCAAACATCTGGGACATATTTTACATACTTGCAACATATGCTTCAGTTTCAATTAAAGTGAGGCTTTGGCACATTTATTAATCTTTTTACTTTTATCGCATAAGAAGACCCATTTACCTGACTTTTCTATTATACCGTATGAAAAAACAGAGAGATAATAAAAGCCAGAGGCCACTACCAGCTGGTGTTACAAAATGTGCATTTGTTTTCTCAGAAAACTTCATTTTGCACATAGCTTTACGAAAATACATATATGAATTAAAATAATACAAAACTGCATCCTTCCTTTTTGACAAAAAGATGTAAGAGGAACACCAGTAGCTAACAGAGTATGTCTAGTGCACCAGAAAGGAAAAAACACCCTACCAGCTTCTAACGACAAACAACTCAGTCCTAACTATGCGCTTACGTTTTACAGTTTAGCCCAGTGCAAAATAATGCCCATTGCGAAGAGTACTGAATATACGTGGTAGTCCATACATGATTATTTTAAGAAGTGTAATTTTGTTTTCCATTCAAACAGCATATTCAATCACGAGAACTCAAGATGTCTGCAATAATAAAGACAGGTTTGAATTTATAAAAATTGACCTAAACACCTTCTGTATAGAAACACGGCTCTTAAATAGTCAATAAAAGGGCTCACCGAATGCACTCAGTAATGTCAGTACTCACTTTTATTCAACCTTGGTAACTAGATCTAGAAAAATGTTTGAACTCTGGTGCCAATTTGAGAAAGCTGAATATTAGATCACAACATTGAAACCTAGCGTGATATTTCTAATGGTGTACGTTTTGTCTGGCATCTGTTAATCGCCAGAGAATTGGGGGGTGGGGGGACTGACCCCTGCCCTCATCTTCCCTTTTAAAGGAGTTTGTTTAGCAATTTCCAAACCCACTAAGCGGTAACTACATAGGCTGGCTTAAACTACAAGCAGTCAAGCACTATTCTTTGTGAACTAATCACAGTTATTAAAATATCCAGGAATATACACACTACTGGGATGATACTTTTGCACCAGCTATAATAATAAAGGAGGAAGAAACGGGAGAAAATGGCTTTAAATGGGTGGCAGATCAGTGTTTATCAGAAGAGAAATGATGATTCAAAGCCAGCATGTTGAGTTAAAATACAAGCTCTCCACAGCTACATGACTGACCTTTGCAATAAATCATATATTTTATTGCCAGAAGTGTATGCTCATATCATTTAGTGTTAAAAACCATCACATACGTGTTTTGTAAAAGAAGGTTTTGTTACTACAGTGTTTGCCAATTCTGAAATGATGTAGCTAACGATTTAAGTGATGTATAGAAGAATTTCACATAATAACTTTCTGTCAATTGTAAAATGTTTGAGCTGGCAGTGGAATGAGGAAAATACTCTTTTTTTTATCATCTCTCAGATCTTAGGTGTTAGCTAACAGAAAAATAATCATTCAGGAGATTAACTAATCACGGTGAATTTTCTGACATTTCAAATGCTGCTGCCAGCATATGAATTCTTACAGCGGTATATAACTGTACATCTCAACTAGAAACAAAGGTCAAGGGCATAAATTAAGATACACTGTTTTTCTCCTCTCGAAAAAAAAATTCATTGCTTTACTACAACAGAAGTGGCGGAACGTCTGTGAAGGTCAAAATCGTCTGTATTTTAATTCAGAGTTCTTGTAAAAGCATCTGTTTTTCCCCTTTTCTCTTCTTCCACAAATATCACCTTCCTGGTATGAAAATACCAGCAACAACGGGGCTGTCTTCACTGCAGTCGTCTCACCAGAAAGCTGTCCTGCCAGCGCTAGCCATTGCTTCAGTGGTGCAAGGTCATTCTAATTTCTTTTCTCTGGTTTTTCCCTCTCCCTGGGGGACAACCAATCCAAGCAGTCCCATAGCTTGGCTCAATAAGATGTGGAAATGAGCTGTTATTTACTGTGGTTGCAATCCTCAACCCAACCAGCAGCCTCCAAACTGAACCACGTTTGCTCAAATAGCTGACTGATCTGCAACAGTTTCCCGGCTTGCTGGGCGACAATGCCAACTTCAAATCAAGTGGACGTCTATGAGAATTGTGATTATTTAAATGTCATACAGAGTGCAAAACATTCCAGCCATTCTTTTACCAAGTAATTCTTCGAAAATTATAGATGTCAATATCCCATCTTTAACCAGTATGGAGTTGCTATTTCTACACCATTTTTCCCCTAAAGTGCAGCGCTATTTGTAATACTCAAGACAGGACAAATTTTTGTCCTTCAAAAACAGTTGTCACTGCAGTTATCTTCACAAGAGCTATCAAGTTCCAGACAGGCTGAATTATTTTTGTTCCTGGCAGAAAAAATATTTGACCCAGCTCTGGACCAAGAAAAAAAAAAAAAAGCAGGATTTATAGTCCTCTATCCCTTCCTGCAACACACTGTAGCATTGTTAGGGTGATAAACAGCTCTGTCCAATTTTCTGGACTAAAACACTTCAACTCCTTTTTTAACTGTCTGTAAAAACAGTGTCATGTCTAAATTCTCCCATCCCCAGATACCCAAGTGCTAGGAAAGATAATTACCTTGTCATCTCTGTCATCCTCTTCTTCCTCGTCCTCTAGCATGTCCTCCACTACCTGCAGACAGAAACAGTAGTAGTTGTCATGATTTAAAAAGGAAGAGTTTTGTTCTGTCAATTCTAAACCTTTTGTAGATGAAAACTTTATTAACATTTGAAATAAATGCACAGAAGGAAAATGTACAACAAGTTAAAAACACTTGATCGAGAGATTCAAATTTAGGAAAGTGTTATAGCTTTAATTGATCTATATTAGGGAATTATATACTGAAAACACTCCCTGTACAAAATGCTTGCTTGACAATTTAAGTATTTAAAAGGTAGTTCAAAATTCAATGTACGATTGTTTTAACTAAAGGAATCCTTTTATAGCTCCACTGGTGCCTATGCAGCACACACAAATGCTTGCTTTAAATTTACTGTTACCTACAGAAACGTGCAACATTTTTAATAGAATTTACAGCATTCACCAAGAGATTTTTGAAGAATACAAAGCTGGGAATAAATTCATACTAGCTTACCTGCTTACGATCTACAACAATGATATATACCATATGCTCTATCAGCATTACGTTTCTTAATAGTGATTTTATACAATCTGTGCATCTAACTTTCTACGCATTCGTTGCTAGCTGCAGTTGTCACATGTCTGCATCTATGTATTTTTCCATTTAAACAGTCTTTTCAGTCTAACACTATGAAATATGCACAGACATTCAATTCATTCCCCAAATATTAATAATTATCAATCACAGCATGAGCATGAAGTAAACCACTATTACATCTAGTTTACAGAGAGATTAAATGACTTTCTGAAGATGGTCAGTGGCAGATTCAGACTTAAAACTCACAAATCCCTCTATCATAACGCTGTGATCAAGTATTCAGCCTACCCTACGGGAAAGATTCTCTGTTGGTGGAGTTGAAATAAAGTTGCACCTCCCTATAACCGAAAATAATGTGGCTCTTTACATCATTATTTATATGTAAATACTTATTAGGATGTAAGAACATCCATAATGAAGGTCAGCAAAGATCCACCTAGCTCAGTGTCATATTACGGGTGCAAAAAGTGTATACTATGTATTATAAAATACGCATAAAAAGGACAAGGGAAGGAAAAACTCATTGGTATGAAACATTAATACTTAGGTCTATTTTACAGACTTGCCACCAATGAAAACGGTAGTTTACTTTGTTATATAGGAGAAGCTACGAACAGTTTTAGTTTACTTGTCTTTTAAGACAACATATTAAAATTATAACTTCATAATCACCCCCGCAAACACAGCTGCAAGGACATTCTCAAGTCCAAATCCATGTCCAAGAACTAACTAAACACTATCCAAGAGCCAAATTCAGGAAAGAGAAGAACTTAAAAAAGAAAAGTGTGTGTATCAGCTGCCTTTCTCTGAGTTAGCTCAACCATCAAGAAAATCCCAGTTAATCGTGTTACATGGGCCCATGCAAAATGTCAACAACACATAGATCGATTTAATATGCACAGAGCACTCTGCATAGATGCAAGTCAACTGCACAGTTCAAAACACTTCCAATTTCAGCTGTTCATCCTTGTTTGAACCCAGTCCCAAAACACCTCTAACAACGAGCCTGGGCCTTTGGAGGGGAAATTGGGCCTCCAATTCTGTCTTCTGGCTACTCTGTCCTGCAGCTTAGAATCAAAAGAAAGACTAAAACCACAACAAAACAGTAAAGAGTGAGCACGTCCAAAAGCCCAAGGAAGAAGCATGACCCAAGCAACTGAGGAACAATTGCTCTTGAATTCTTGCCTGCCCAGAAGAACAATTTTATCAGGAGGAGCCTGACTGACCGAATCTTCTGCAGCCTCTGACCTGATGCCAGCCAGGCAGATGTATTTGTGAATCCCCTCAGGCTGAAGAAGGAATCAAGGCTGGGCTCTAGCCACTATCCATGAAGAAGAAGAAGCCTCCCTCACCAGTTTCTCCTCTGTTTCCCATTTAGGCCATCTCTGCTCCACTTCTTAAGAAAAGGGGATCGGAGACAGTGCCCAGAGAGTTTGGGATGGTCAAACCTCTCAGCACTGAGAGAGGGAAATGTTGAGAGCATGTTGTCAAAATGCTTGTCAGCTCCTGCTTAGCTCAGTATGCCACTTTACACATCCCATTTGGAGCTGTCTGAGAGGTCCTATCTTCATGGACCTCTCTGTGGAAGCAAAGGCATCTTCAGTTTCCCGTGCACCTGCATCACCTCCTTCTTCCCCTCCTCCCCTGGTAGCTCACTGTCATGTTCCAAGTCTTTGGGGAGCAGAGCTGCAAACTGCATCACTGGACTGATCGAGTTCTTAAAAAAACCCCCCACCCTAAAACTTTTAATGCGGATGGTTGCAGTGACCCAGTTTACAGAGCAGCTCCAGAAATGCTGGCATCAGCTCTACCGACGAAATGGTGAACTGAGAAGAGAGGATGACAACAAGCTGTTAAGAGCTGCAGTGAGATGGAAACCCTCTTAAATCAGTTTTGCCACACACAAAAAAGTCTGTAATTACATCATTAGGTGACTAAAGCCCAAGGTATAAACCTGAATCTGTTGACTCAGATACTGCCTACGCCTGGAGCTGACTAAACTCACTAGGTCTCTTACTTTTCAACATTAATATTCCCCAGACACTTAAAGATCTCTTTTATGTACATCCAGAAATTCCTTGTCTTGACAGGATTGAACAGCAGAATGCCTATCTCACATTAGCGCTAAAGTTAGCATGGAGACAATTAGTTGAATTGGAAACCTCTAAAATTGTTGCAAAAGATGGCACCTCACTGAAATCACTTGCATGACAATACCCATTCTAAATTATCCAGATAATAATATTTCAAACTCACATTTTTTTTTCTTCCCCATCTAAAGATCTCAAACTACTTTACAAGCTTCTATAGAGTGGCAAAATGTTAACTTGTTCAAAGGACATAAAAAGTCCTTCGAAATCACTTGAAGCCCAGGACTGAGCCCAGATTTCCAGCTCCTCCATTCCATTTTTTAATTCAAAAGCCACTGCCAGTCTAGGCTCTTGTTCTAGGTTAGTCATATCATCAATTACATCATTGAGCTTTAGAGTATTGAATTGTCTGGAAAGGAAAACAGAATTAAACTATTGTAGCAAAATAAAATGTAGTAAAAGTGTTCCTACGGCCAAGGTGCATAAATGATTCTTTAAAGTATATGAAACTTAGCCCATGCTTTCACTTGTCTTGGAATTCAAAAGGAAGCGTTAAAAGAAAAAAAACAAACATGAACATTCAGACAATACGGACACAATAATACAATTTATTAAACCACAAGTGCTTTCAGAAGTTTGACACAAATTAAAACAAGGAAAGTAGATTCTTCATAATCTTATGATATATGAAGAACAGGTATGCTGAAGCCTTGCAAAAGCTGTATACTGAAGTACAATCTATTTCTGCAGAACAAAGCAAGGCTGTTCAAGAGAGGTACAGTGAATCTGAGCAACAGATTTCAGTTTAACATTGTCGTAAGAATACTATAGGGAAAAAATGCACAATGGAGTTTTTTCTCCCTTGATTCTGCCTCATTGCTATTCAAATAAAGTGCACATGTGCTGCTTTGGTTTGAAGGAACACAGTAGTTATTCGGATCTCTATGTCAAGCATTGTACCTGGGGGAGGTACGATGTGGGGAGGGAGGAGACAGGGAAGGAGGTAGAGAGAGAGGGAGGACAGGAAAAAGCATATGAAGATAAAATGAAACATTAGAGTTATTTTATTAAAAGTTCTATGGCAAAAATCTTAGATTGCCCCTAGAATACTCTCTCTAAATTATGCCTTCCGATACCTTGCTTGAAATCAAGTAGTATTAATCAAACAAAGGAAGGGCACTGGGGAAATCAGAAAGATCTAATGCAAGCAGTTAAAAGTGACATGACCTTCTGTAATGTCACTTGTCACAGACTTATATGCCGCATACTGGTAGAAGGTCTTGAAAGAACCTGTTTCTTGGTACTGTCCCTTGAATGTAATACTAATACAGATGACATTTTAAAAAACACACGGCCTCAAATACGGCATGTCAGCTACTTCACAGCCAAAGAGTAAGCAGATTATGTTTAAATGTTGCAAAGTAAGATCCTTCCTGTGCAAAATAGCCCTATTAAAAGCTTATCAATCATAAGGAGCATGCAGTGTAATTCCTACGTACTGCCATTGTTCCTGATCCATTCCCACCCCCTTTGAGGAACTCCGTCCATAAATACCGTACGATTCACAACCCGAAGGAGATGGGAGGAGCGTCTGTTCTGTCGCAGCAGCAGCGGTGCGCAGCTACGTTACACCGGGTCACCAGAAGAAGCAAAACCGCCTCGTTTGCATGCTGAAGAAAACCCCAGTGTTTGTGGGCTAGAACGCAGTCTTCTGAGGAAGCTGACAATTAAACACGACTTGCGTTTATTCTAAAGATGATCTATTGACTAACAAACAGGATAGGATTTCTGAGAAACGAATTCATCTTGACTTCTAACCTCAACCCCTGCAAAGTATGGTTGGATTCTAGTTATTTACAAGCAGGTTGAATCAAAATCCCACGAGAGAACTTTAAAATACCTCCTGGATCTAAAGACTCTGTGGAAAAATGACACATTGAAACTTAACACCACTTTTAATGAAAGGTCCTTCTCTCTTGGCATCAGCCTGCCGTTTCTCATACAAAATGTGCAAACTGCAAGTCACTCCATGAATTGTCTTCTGTTCTAATTTCTTTGGCTGATCCAACAGAAACACCTGCACAGAAGATACTTTGACGTCTTTACCTGTTAAAAATACCAGATATCTGCTCTGCACTAATACGCAAAATACAGAAAAAATAAAAGGAGAGGCACTACTAGATTGCAGATAACCCTGATGACTGTTACCTTAATATTCTTCTTTAATGTGAAGCAACGCCCCCCGCCTGCCATTAGCACTTCTCTAGATTTGCTTATATCTTACTTGATGTAGTTCTTCAAACATAGGGGGTTTCAAATGAAAAACAAAAGAAAACACTTTTTACGCTGTATCACATGTCACG